CAAGCAAGATCCCAGGAGAAACACTTCTAGGCACATAATAGTAACAATGATGGATCTGAATAATAAGGAAACAATCCTGCATGCAGCAAAAATGAAGAAGGAGCTATACTACAACGGGAAAAAAATTAGAATCACTGCAGATCTCTCCACACAAACAATGAATGCAAGAAAAGCCTGGGAAAGCACCATACGAGCCCTGAGAGCCAATAACTGCCAACCCAGACTGATATACCCGGCAAAGCTAGCATTCACATTCGATGGAGAACTGAAAACTTTTAATAGCAAAGAAAAACTAAATGAATACATAAACATTAAGCCAGCATTACAAAGAATTCTAAGAGGGGGGACACAACCTGAAGAAAGCAACCAGGAACTGGGACCTGCCCCAAACAGGCATTACTCAAAGTCTAACTGAGCAAGCACAGGAGGAAAGGAAAGAAGAAAAACTTAGGAAAACGGAATGGCAGGGACAACAATGCATCTCTCTATACTTTCTCTTAATATAAATGGGCTGAATTCGCCAATTAAAAGAAAACGAACTGAGGACTGGATCAGAAAACAAGACCCATCCATCTGTTGCCTTCAGGAGACCCACCTCTCAGCCAAACATACAAACAAACTCAGAGTGAAGGGGTGGAAAAGGATCTACCAATCAAATTCCCCCAATAAGAAAGCAGGTGTAGCTATCCTGATATCTGACAAAATAAACTTTTCATTAAAATCAGTACAGAAAGACAAGGACGGACACTACATATTAATAAAGGGAACAATCCAAGAGGAGGATATAACCATCATCAACTTATATGCCCCAAATATCGGTGCACCCAGATATGTTAAACAAATGCTCTCAAACTTACAGAATAAAATAGATCCCAATACGATAATACTAGGAGACTTTAACACGCCACTCTCACCAAAGGACAGGTCTACCAACCAGAGGATTGGCAAAGAAGCTACCGAATTAAGTGAGGCCATACTTCAAGCGGAATTAACTGACATCTACCGAGTATTTCACCCTAAAACAACACAGTACACATTCTTCTCAGCAGCTCATGGAACTTTCTCCAAAATAGACCATATCATAGTTCATTCAAGGAACTTAAGCAAATACAAAGGGATCGACATAATCCCCTGTATCCTATCTGACCACAGTGGAATCAAGCTAGCTCTCAATAACAAAGCATACCGCAGAAATTTCTCTAATACATGGAAATTGAACAGCACACTCCTTAACAAGGCCTGGGTAACAGAAGAGATCAGAGAAGAAATAAAGCAGTTCCTAGAACTCAATGAAAATGAAAACACCTCACAAAGAAACTTGTGGGACACAGCAAAAGCAGTCCTGAGGGGCAAATTTATTGCCCTCAGTGCCCACATCAAGAGAATGGAGACAGACCAAGTAAATAATCTCATGTTGCAACTAAAACAGCTAGAAAAACAGGAAAAAATGGGACCTAAAGCTACTAGACGAAGCCAGATAACCAAATTGAGAGCAGAGATTAACCAATTAGAAAATCAGAAAACCATAACCAAAATAAACCAAACAAAAAGCTGGTTCTTTGAAAAAATAAACAAAATTGATGGCCCGTTGGCAAGATTAATTAAAAAAAGAAGAGAGGAAACCCATATTAATAGGATTAGGGATGCCACGGGAAACATCACAACACGTACCCAAGATATCCAAACAATTCTAACAGACTACTTTCAAAAGCTATACTCTCTAAAGGAAGAAAATCTGGCGGAAATGGATGCATTTTTAGAGAAATACAAGTTACCCAAACTGAGCAAAGAAGAAGTTAACCAATTAAATAAGCCAATATCCTATAATGAGATACAGGAAGCTATCAAAAGTCTTCCAACAAAAAAAAGCCCAGGACCAGATGGATTCACAGCAGAATTCTATAAGACCTTTAAAGAAGAACTAATACCCATACTCCTCAAGCTCTTCAGAGAAACAGAGAAGGAGGGAGCTATCCCAAACTCATTCTACGAAGCCAATATCACACTCATCCCCAAACCAGGCAAAGACCCAACCAAAAAGGAGAATTACAGGCCAATCTCCTTGATGAACACAGATGCAAAGATCCTTAACAAGATTCTAGCTAACAGAATCCAGAAACACATAAAAAAAATAATACACTATGATCAGGTAGGCTTCATCCCAGAGACACAGGGATGGTTTAACATACGTAAGTCAATAAATGTAATCCAGCATATCAACAGAGCCAAGGTCAAGAATCACATGATTATCGCCACAGATGCAGAAAAGGCCTTTGATAAAATTCAACATTCATTCATGCTAAAAGCTCTGGAGAAAATAGGAATAGAAGGAACATTTCTAAAAACAATAAAAGCCATTTATGACAGACCAATAGCCAATATTATACTTAATGGGGAAAAGCTACAACCAATCCTCCTAAAAACAGGAACAAGGCAAGGATGTCCACTGTCTCCACTCCTCTTCAACATAGTCCTAGAACCCTTAGCCAGGGCAATAAGGCAAGAAAAAGACATTAAAGGGATCCGCATAGGGAAAGAAGAAGTGAAACTATCCCTTTTTGCAGACGACATGATACTATACCTCCACGATCCCAAAAACTCCATCCCCAAACTTTTAGAAATCATAAGTCACTTCGGCAAAATAGCAGGATACAAAATAAACCCACAAAAATCAGTTGCCTTCCTATACACTGATAACGCACAGGAAGAGAGGGAAATAAAGGGAGCAACCCCATTCACAATAACCTCCCAAAAAATAAAATATTTAGGAATTAACCTAACCAAAGATGTAAAAGAACTATTTAATGAGAACTATAAAAAGTTAAAGAAAGAAATTGCAGAAGACACTAGGAAATGGAAAGACCTCCCATGCTCCTGGATAGGCCGACTTAATATAGTAAAGATGGTGATACTTCCAAAATTAATATACAAATTCAATGCAATTCCTATTAAAATCCCAATGACGTACATCACTGAAATACAGAAAACAGTCCAAAAATTTATATGGAACAACAAAAGACCTAGAATAGCCAAAACAATTCTAGGGGATAAAGACAATATGGGAGGGCTATCCATGCCGAACTTCAAACTCTACTACAGAGCTATAATCACAAAGACAGCATGGTACTGGCACAAAAACAGACCCGAAGACCAATGGAACAGAATAGAAGATCCAGATATAAATCCACAGGCCTACAGCCAGCTGATATTCGACAAAGGAGCCAAAGACATACAATGGAAGAAACACAGCCTCTTCAACCGCTGGTGCTGGGAAAACTGGGCAGCCACATGCAGAAAACTAAAAGTGGACCCCAGCCTATCACCATGCACCAACATCAACTCAAAATGGATTAAAGACCTTAACATTAAACCTGAATCTCTGAAACTACTGCAGGACAGAGTAGGAGAGACACTTGAACTAATAGGCACAGGAAGGAACTTCCTGAACAGAGTCCCAGGGTCACAACAAGTTGGAGAGAGACTCGACAAATGGGACTACCTTAAAATAAAAAGCTTCTGCACAGCTAAATCTATCGCAACTAAGCTAGAAAGACAACCAACTAATTGGGAAAAAATATTTACCAGTAATATATCAGACAAGGGGTTAACATCCTGTATATACAGGGAACTCAAGAAACTAATCCCTCCCAAACCTAACAAACCAATTACTAAATGGGCAAGGGAACTAAAGAGGGACTTCTCAAATGAAGAAATAAAAATGGCAAAGAAACACATGAGGAAATGTTCATCATCCCTGGTGGTGAAGGAAATGCAAATAAAGACAACCCTGAGATACCACCTTACCCCAGTCAGAATGTCCCACGTCCACAAATCAGCCAACGACAAATGCTGGAGGGGATGTGGAGAAAGAGGAACCCTATTACACTGCTGGTGGGAATGTACACTTATACAACCACTTTGGAAAGCAGTCTGGAGGGTCCTTAGAAAGCTAAAGATTGACCTCCCTTACGACCCAGTCATACCACTTCTAGGCATCTACCCTGAACAACAGGAACCAATATACAAGGACACGTGCACCTCCATGTTTATTGCAGCACTGTTCGCAATAGCTAGGATATGGAAACAACCTAGGTGCCCCACCACAGATGAATGGATCCAAAAATTGTGGTATCTATACACAATGGAATATTATGCAGCCATTAGAAATGACAAAATAATGGCATTTGCAGGGAAATGGATGGAGCTAGAAGGAATCATGTTGAGCGAGGTAAGCCAAGAACGAAGAGACAAACGGTACATGGTCTCCCTCATAAGTGGATGCTAAATCCAAAAGGTTAGTGATACGACAAAACTAACAGGACTTAAGAAACAAAGAACTCCCGCTCATCTGGTTGAACCACTACTAAATATCCTCATGCTGCTGATCACAAATATGGTATATAACATGTGAACACTGTTATATATTACAGACTGTGGTAGACAATTTGCTCCAGGGAAGTTAGAATGAACTTGTGACTTTGAAATTATGTAATCATTTAATCACAATCAAAAAAAAAAAAAAAAGAACCTCGGGGAAGGGAGGGAGGGAGGGGATGGTAGGGGGAAAACAATGGAGGGGGTAACAATGTTCAAGAGGAAGTGTACTCATAACCTCACTCATGTAACTGTAACCCTCTGTATAGTAGCTTTACAATAAAAAAATAAAAAAAAAAAAAAAAAAAAAAAAAAAAAATAAAGCCTACCTAGGCTGGCTTTGAGCCATGATTCTTAGAGCTCAGCCTCCTTAACAGCTAGGATTAAAGGCGTGAGACATAGGTGCCTGGGCTCGTCCCATTTTATAATGCTTATCTTAATTTAAATTCACAGATTAATGTATACCAATGGTCAGCTATGAGAAATTAAGGACAAACAAAGCTTTCTGTCCTTTATGGAGCAAAGAACAGGTCCCCTGAATCTTCTGTCCTTCTGTGCTCTCCCTTTCCATGAGGTCACAGACGGTGGAAATGCTGGCTGTGAATTGAATCCTGCTCAACACTCACCCTCCCCCGATCCTTTACGCCTCCGTTTTTGTTCTTCTCTCTCAGACTTCCTTTTCTCTTTCCGCCTCTGCCGCAGTGCTGTTTTAGGATCTGTGATCCAGGCTTGATAAACAAACTGAGACAAGAAATTGCAATTATGTTCTGACATTTTAATAATCTCAAATGAAAGGTGATCTACACCACACTTCCTAGCTTTAAGAAATATTATTTTTTTCTCCAATACAAACTAAACATCCCTCCTTCACCTGTATATGCTCAGCTGATCTTGGCTATTTTTGTTATCATGAGATATATATGAAAACAGATACTGTGGGAATATATTTCATTTGGTGTCACAGATGATCCTGATACAAACTCTGGATATATACCAACCATCAGTTATCCCAAATCCCTAAATATTCTGACACTTGTGTTACTCAATTATGGATTCTCTTTGCACTACACAACATGGGTATTCCATGTGTATTACAGGATGTCTCACTCAGCTTATTAGTTTTTCCATTCAAAAACAAGCATCTTATTTACTTTGAGAAAATAGTTTTTACATTCGACACTCTCCTTGAATAATAGCTATTACCAGCAAGTTGAAAATGAGTTTGTGGATTGATTAGTATCTTGAGAGGAGAAATATGGTAGCATTGTCATTAGTTAGTTGTTCCAGGATGGTATGGAAAGAAAACTGTGGTGCTTAGGTTGCAATCAAGAGCAGAAAACAGTTGCATCAATATCTTAGAACAAGTAGTTAGGAAAGAGCAAGTTCTGTAAAGCCCACCCACCAAAGCATGCAGAAGAAACAAAAAACCTGACACACAAACAAGCCAGCCGAAAACCATCAAGCCAAGCAGACATGCTGTACATGCACCTCAAACACCTGGGTCTCAGGGAAGCTGGCTTTTCCATTATAATGATGAGATTGAAGAAATAGTCTCAGGTTCTTATGAGTCAGACACTGTAATTTTGTCCTATACTATTAACAGATTGTTGAAATATTTGAAAAACACAGAAAAAGTCAACTATTGGCATTGTGATATTTGTAGAAAACAGATTCAACTTTTCCACAGACAGACATGAAGAGACTGTAAATTAATTAGAAATTTCTCACTGATAGAAATCTAAATTGTACAGGAAGGTTACCTAAATACCCAGATGGTATTATTTCTGGATATTATTTCCAGGAAGAAAAAAAATCATTCTAGTTCATGTGAAAAAAAAGTATGTAAGGAAATGAGAAGATAAACTGGAATATAAAGGACCATAGAAAGGAATTTTTGGCAGAAGCTTACTGAACATGTTAATTGGGAATTCTATCAAGAACATCTTTCAGGTTTAGTACTTGCTTCAGCATAGTACCAGTTGTGTTGAAGGGATTTGAACATAAAACATTTGCAGGCTTAAGAACATCTGGTGACATTTCCTTTAAACCAAGTATTACAATATTGTTTCAGATAATAAAAGAATCCTCAAAATAGAAAGCAAGAACAAATTAGGATTTGTGAATGCAGCAGACACACAAGTTGTAGGAAATCTTTTGCTCTGAAGAATAAGCCAGTAACAGAGGGAGAGGGGAAGTCCAGAGAGGATGGTTTAAGGACAGAGTTTACAGGGAAGGTTCCATTAACATCTTGACATTTGATTTCTGAGTGACTAAAGCCTATCAGTATAGTCTCCCTGAGGTGAGTACAGGAGAAGTGACCTAGAGGGAGCAATCATGTGGTAATACCCTATTTCTAGGAAACTTTTCCCTAGGTTGGCATTTTGAATACCAACCACATTACAGTTCCAGGAGCTTTAGTTTTGCTGTTGTCTACTTTTAAATGCTGATAAGCACAGGCAGGCAGGGGTTCCAGTCTTTAGTTGGGTCAAGAAATGGAGACATTTACTGAACTTCCTAATTATTACTTGGCAACTCATAAGTCTTACCCAACTTGACAAGGCCATGTAGGGGGCAAGAGTGGAGGTGAGGTGAGTGGAGGTGGGAAGTCAAAAGGTTTTATGGGGAGTCAGATGGTGCCAGGGGAAGCCAGGGAGTGTCAGGCTCTCACAACACTAACCAAAAGTTTAAAGACTCATGGATATGTATAAGCAACTATTAATGTGTGCCCCTGATTTTAGTTTTACTTTTTATCTTACATGACTTCATCTTAAATTTTATCACTTTTATTGTAGGGAATGGCATTTATTTCTACTGAAAAATGATGGGGCAGAAAAAAACATTTATTCTTCAAAATGTTATGCAGTGGAGATCCTTTACTGAAATTGGTGATGTTTCCTAGTTTGTCTTTTAATGCAAATGTGACCAGTACTGTCTTTATCAATATCATCATTCTTTAGATTTTTTATTAGTTAAGTAGGGGGATAGTTATGTAGAATCTTCTCATTTTTAAACTAAGGATTAGAGAATCATACAGTGGTGTACTGGAGGGAAGTGGAGGCTCATGGGAGCCACCGCAATGACTTTTCAACTATAGCCAGTCTCCTGGGTTTACGTCTGAAAGGCATCTGGAGGGCTGGCCTTGGCTGCTCCACACTTTGACCTGTTGAATCACATCAGTTGTTTCAGGATCCCAGGTAAAATGTGAGACGCACAGGTCTATGTCACTATTGCTATCTCTTGCTTAACATAGGAGTATAACAAACTGAAAAGTTTTTAGAAGAAACTCTTTTAGAGTTTTCAGAGGACAAATATCTGATAAAATATAAGCAGAGTTATATGTCACTTTTTATTTTTAATAATATGAAGTAAACTACAGTTCAGGTAGCTGAATAACTTCTATTGCGCATCAATCAGATGAACTTTTTAAATACTTTATTCAAAAGTGCATGGGCATTAGGGCTATTCAGACTATTCACAGCTGAGCAATCTAGACAAGCTATACTCAAGACCTGGACAGTCAGAGCCAGTTAGGGAAGATGGAGAGTCAGAAGCCAGGCAGGAGTTGGAACCGAATTAGTCTTTTATTAGCTTATCCAGATTTTTGTTTTACCAGCTTTCTGAGAAAAAATTATTATGTTTTATTCATCATAACTGATGCATGCAATCAGAGGTGACCATTTTAAAATGAGATGTAACTTACGCGAAACTATGAGAAGAAAAAGTAGATTTGGATCTGCATTTTTTCTTTCTATTTTTTTCAGTAGTCTTTGAGGTCCAATAAGAAATGTGGCTTCTATGAAGTCTTTTTGGAAAGCTTTCCTAATATTTCACAATCTTACAATTCCTTCATTGTATGATCTATAGAACAGAGAAAATGCAGATCCCGGGATATGTTTTTTCTAAAGTTCTACAGAGCAGAGAATTACACACTACATGTCAGTAAAACAGGAAATACCTTTGCAGCTCTGATTAAATATTGAAGAATAGTTTTGGGAAGTTTTATGACAGACTTTGGCAAGGCTAAAATGGCTGAGGCAAACTTCCCAATAGCTCTCTACAAAGAAGGACAAAGCAAGAGTAATTAGTAGAAAAAAAACCCAAAAACTAATAATTTAATATATGCTGTCTTATGAGTTTGTCTCTAATAATTAAGATCAATGATGTCCAAATGTCCCAGCCATAGAAACTAGAATAAAATGTGTTCCACTTGTCTAGGAATAAAAAATGCAGTCAGTCATGGCATGTGATCCGTACAGAGTGAAGATGGTCCATTTCTCTTCTTACTGAGGAGTGCTTAGAACAAAACTCATTAAAAGAAAAATAAACATGTTGAGTCAGTAGTATTTGGCAGGGCAGCTGCATACATGCATACAAACATGAAACAATACCAAGAAACATACACAGGGAGGAGTAGAGCCAGGGAGGTGAGTCAAGGAGTCTCTAGGAATAATTTAGTTCTTCAAGATTGTGGGGAAGGCACGTGAGTGCAAGCTGCCCATTTACAAAGGCCTGGCCAGCAAGATGATGTTGCTTTTATCACAGTTGATATTGCTTTTAACCAGGTGGATTACATTCGAGGTGCCCTAGCCTCTTAAGAAATGAGAATTAACTGTCCTAGTCTGTGGCCCACTGGAAAGGGAAACATATCCCAGGTTTTTATCTCCCATGTGACCTTGGTTGAAAAGCCTGGTCTTTAACAAGCATGGATTATGTATTCTAATTCTGAGCTGAAGAGCAAGAGCTGAGGAGACAGCATGTTCTAAAACAGTGAGAGTTCAGCTGCAAAGATCAGAACTTCACTGACTTACTACCTCAATACAGTCTCAAATCTTTAGCCCTACAAGTAAACTGAATTTCACAATCAGCTAGTTCATATATTGAAATGTAAGTCCATTCAATGAATCCAAAGCAGTGCCAAGGACTTCACCTCTTACTTGCAACAGCAACAATAAAACAAACAAAGGTCACCTGGTGAACTTCTATTTTAATGTGTATGAACATGTTTTGATGCCAGAGGACAAAGACCTGCCTGAACACTTGCAAATAAACGTGCAGCTTACTTAGAAATAATCAATTTACGATGTCAATCAGCATCTTCTGAGAGCTGGGACATATGCATACATCAGAAGTAACCTAGGCTTGCAATTCAGATGTGTCCATTAAAGAAGTTCCAACTAGCAAAGGGCATCACTTTCCCAACCCCACAATTACCTGGAAGGCTGACTTCCGTGGAGGCTCTTCATCTTCCTTCTTTAATTCTTCCTCTTCTTCCTCTTCACTATCCGTCTCAAACAAATAATAATCTCCACTCCTGACCACTATGTGAAACAAAATATTTGCTTATTTCTTGGAAGAGATATGAGAAATTGGGGACTTATTAATGAAATGCCCCCTCAAGATATGCAAATGGTCACCAAAAAAGGACCACAGGAAGAGATGTCAGCAGGGAGGAAAGTACAAGAGATGACAAGAGGCTGTCCAGGGTAGGGCCGCATGGTGTGGATGTGTCTGAGTCCACAGAGTATGTGGCCTTGTCTGTGCCAAGTAAGAAGATTGGAATTAACCATTCTTGGGTTGACCTGGTGGTTTTTTTTCCCCTTTGTCATAAGTTTTACATGGCTGAATCTTCTCAACTGTGCAGCAATCAGTTTTGTTACTGAGATGCTAAAATAATTGATAGCTATTGTTTCATAACTTTGGTCATTTAGACAAGGCCAGAGTGAAGTGGAAGACATTGTCTGTTATAGGTAAGCCAATTGGAGTGGTTCAGGAGCCAGATCAGTGCCACCAACCTTCTACTTCACTTTACACTTTGTAGACCTAGCTTCTCCACATCACATGTGAGGCAACATATATGACAAGACATTTGAAAGAGTTAAAACAACAACAACAACGATATTGGCACAAGGAGGAAATGAGTAGATAACATTTAAAATAAAACAGGAAACAATGACAACAACAGAAATATGACTACCACTGCACCAGCTTTTCTACCTATAGCTATGGGACCAACAGGATGGCAGAAACGATCCACAGAGATTAGCTCTGTTAGGCTCTTGGTCAACAAGCCACTCCCTGGAGCCTAATGGAATTCAAGAAAAAAAATTCTACTGACCATAAGCTACAAAGCACAGTGTGGACTGCTTCTGCCTAGTCTCACTTTCCCTTCCAGAAAATGGTGACTGTGTCAAGTTGGGAGCTGAGAAAGTGGGGATGTCCAGAGATTTTTAAAGAGATTTCAAAAACCCAATCATTATTAGTTTGATGGGGATTGCAAGTTTATTTAAGAAAGTATACCCAGCATGTACATTTCTTATGCTATAAGAACTGTACCACCACTTCAGGAAAACATTCATATTTTTCAAATTATATTTAGGTTTCCAAAGCTAAGGCACCCATCTTTTAGGTGAGAGAATGTGGTATTTTAAGTATCTTTTGGCCTTACATTTCATAAGGTAATGGGAAACCTTGGCTTGCTTAAAATTAGTTGCTTGGCTTATTACTACACATGGTCAAAATTCCAGTGATTTTGCCCATGATTTCAGATGACTCTGAAGCCTCCTTTTCATTGAAGATGCAGAATGAATGAATTGGGCCTTATATCCTTGAACAGAAACACTGTAATTCATTATTTTTATTCTGAAGAACAAACCAGGCCCAGAGTACTGAGTCCAGGCCTGAGGAAATAAATGAAATATAACATAAGGTAAGAATAAGCGAGAACAAACCAAAGTTCTAGCAATACATTTGACATAGAGGAAGACCATGAAAGTAATGCCTTCATGTAAGCTGAGACACTCACAGGAGAGTTACATGGACTACTCTCACATGGTCATTCAGGAGAAACACGGATTATGATAGGATGGAACATTTTACCCTCATTATAGGCATTGAAATCAATCAACAGCTAAGTGTATTCAATCATACCTTCTTCTATAGCCTTTATTCATGTACATGAGCTCACCTCAAGCATTGATTTTTATCATTAGAAAGGTAACCAATTTATTACACAAGTGGCATTAGCACACTAAGAAAAGATGTTCTTTTAAAAGTCTCATGACTTTATAAAATGTCATTAGGACAAAGCTTAAAAAAAAGAATGGAGAATCGTTTCTCATGTGGCATCTGCTCTTCCATGTTTGATAGTTCAGATGTAGGGCCAGCCAGTAGCCCGGGTCTACATGCATACATTGCAGGGAAGTAAAGGTTATCGCTGTATCACTAGTGAGACATTATTTGTTAAATATTACCACTTGCTTCTTGAGAAACCTTTCCCTTTATTTCACATACTTAACAGTAAAACAAGGCTTGCCATTAATTTCAGAAGTACAGAATTAATACCATTAATTTCAGGAGTACAGAACTGATATGGGTAAAAATCACACTGAATTGGAAGGTATCATTGAACAGCAATAATGCAATCCTATGTGTGTACAAAGGTATGGAATCAGGGGCTTTGGCACCTAAAGACCATGCTAAGATCTTCACTGCTGACCAACAGCATCAGTACATGGTAACACTGTGACACCAGCAACAGACTTATATTGATACTCCAACTACACTTATCCTTAGTTTGAGAGCCCAGCCCAGTCATTCAACAGATCAGAATAAGGGTTTTTAATAATACTCTTCTAGATCTGATGGTAATTTCTGGAACCCATCAAGGATTATAAAAAGTAGACTATATTTTTCCCTTGTGTTCTTCTTAAGATTGTAAAAGAAAATATATTTTGCAATTCAAAATATAATTCCAAACCATGAATTACACACATTTCTGCATTATTGTACCATCAAGTATTGTAACAAAGCACATTTAGTTTTAATATGTCTTCAAGAACTTGATATAATGAGGGTGAAATGAGTCATATAATCTAACATTAATAACCTTCATAGGAAGTTCTTTAAGCTATTACCAATTTGTAAGGTGATTCTCAAAGACCATATCCAATTCCTTTGAAAATACAATGTTTATATGCAAAAAGGAAAGACAACTAAAGTGATTGCAATGGGGATATACCTTAGCTGAAAGGACAAAGCGTTCAATAGGACATGATTGTGAAATGGATAGGTCTTACTAACTAGCAGAGGTCCTTTAAAAACAGAAAAGTAAGCACAGTTTACTTGTGACTTGACAGGAACAGGCAGTTAGCTCAGTCTGTTACCATATTGGTAGCCTAACTATTGTGCCAATAACCAGTTAATGGAAGAATTACATTTGTTTTCAACTTGAACTCTAGCCTTTTGACCTGTGCAGAAAACTAAATAAAACTCTTTAGAACTCACTTTTTGTCATGTTAATTTTCAATATTGGGGATTAAATTTTATTATATCTAGATATAATAAGCAATATTTCAAGTATTTTTTTTCATTACACTAGCTTGCTGATTGTAGAAAATTACTTCTGGGGTGAGAGAGGCCCAAACCAGATCTATGTGATACTAAGAATTAGGCATGGGAAATATTACCATTGATAATTTTCTAATGATATCTATTAGTAGGGTCTTTCCCACCACTCCATGAGTTCATGTGCTTTGGTGACATTCCTTGTCTAATGGAATATAGCATATGATAAAAAGACTGAAGACATGACAATCAATTTTTAAATAATGATTATTCAATATTCTAATATAATTAAGGAGGGTTACACTGAATTGGGTCACTCCATTATAAAGACAGTGGCCAACATTGCTAATTTCTTTGCTTAGCAGAACCATTACAGCCAGTGATTTCTCTAGTTCATAGTTCATTTTTTATAATCAGAGAGGAAATACACTACTATGTGGCTATCTAGTTCTGCTTTTCTTTTCCTTTCTTTCTTTCTTTTCTTTTTGTTGTTGTTGTGAATTGGTCACTTGTGAGTCTCAGGTGGTTCTGAAGCTGTGCCACAGCTCGACATGGGTGTTTGGTTCAGTTTTATAGCCATTTTGAGACTGGACAGGAGGCAAAGTGAGAAAGTAAATGCTTTCATTGCAAGTCATCCCTCATTTCTATATTTAGTATACTGTCAAAACCTAAAATACAAATAAAAATAAAAGCTCTTGGAATGAGGGGAGGGAAGACTCATTGACATCCATGTCTAGTGCCTTAAAGAAAGGGTTACAGACATTTTGAATGTAGTGATCAGCCTTCAAGCAGTACTTGGAGGAGCACAAACTTGTGATTACATATGTGAGTGTGTGTGTGTGTGTGTGTGTGTGTGTGTGTGTGTGTGTGTGTGTGTGTGTTGTTCCTGGAACTTGAACTCAGGGCATGGGCACTGTCCCTGAGCTTCTATTGCTGAAAGTTAGTGCTCTATCACTTGAGCTAGAGCTCCACTTCCAGATTTTTTGTGGAGGTAGTTTACTGGAAAGAAGAGTCTCATGGACTTTCCTGCCCAAACTGGCTTTGAACCATGATCCTCAGATTTCAGCCTCCTGAGTTGCTAGGATTACAGGCATGAGCCACTGGCACTCATTCTTTGTCATAAAACAAATACTAGAAGAGCTCTGGACTTCAAAACTAGATAGCATCATAATCAGTTCTTGCTTTCTGAGCCTATAAATGTGCTTAAGAGTCTGTAAGCCATATATTGAGCTTTCTTCAACCAATTATATCTAGTTGTTTATTTTTCTATTATCTATTAGTATATTGGAATTATCTAATATCTCTAGAAGAATAGATCCATAGAACCTATAGACCCATTGATGCTGCAATTTTCCTACACTCCAACTCCCTATCAAGTCACAAGGGTCAAACCATGCATGGGACACACAGGTCATGGGAGAGCCTGAATTCTGGTCAAGGATATAAGGGTTAGAGTCAGTGAGATTGGAAGAGTATTGAGAAACCTACTGGAAGCATGATCAACCCAAGGCCGCCACCACTGCTTTTTTTTGCCCTTGGCTTTCTGTTTGTCTGCTTCTCCTAAAATAAAATATGTCCAAATATTAATTCTCATAAAGTGAGCAAACAAAATTTGAAACCATGTTTTAACAACTCAATTGTCAAATCTAGGTCAGTTGCAAAAGTACATCAGAGGTCAGGAAAAGGAACTCTACTAAGGCTGAAAAGTATACATGTATTTTCACAAATTATTTTACCTCCAAATGGTTCAATAAAATAATTTGTTAAAATGCATGAATTCTAATGGCTAGAAAGTTTTATGGTGATTATTTTAATGCATGGTTGAAAAAATAAAGTTACTAGTGATGAACAGATGCTATATACTGGAAAAATATCATACATTATTGTTTGATTCCCTTTGAACAAATAAGCATGCAAGCTTTGATAAGATTAAAAAAACAAGAAATCTTTAAACCTTAAGCTAGATAAAATATCTAATTAGATATAATACATTATAAAGCTACAAATATATACTTCATCAGAGCTCTCATTGGAACAGGTAATCATTGATATTTTAGCTACCAATACTCAGAGGCCACATAGAATATGCATGCATATTTAATTTATATAAAATTTATAGAAATCAAAAGCAGCCTATTTGAAATATCTTCCTTAAACAAACACATTTAGCAAAACCATGCCAATTTCTTCAAAAATATGTCTTTAAGCTAAAGTTAGGCTATTTGCTCATTGAAGGCATCTTACCAAAAAAGATACTTGTAAAATTATTCATTCATTAAATATAAGTTGATAAAACAAATAAAAATATCCCATGTACAGTAGGAAAGTAAAACTTGCAAAATTAAAAAAAAAAAATTGGTAATATTGACAGAAAGAAAAGTGACCCAATATCATGCTTCTAGACCATGTCAAAGTACTTGAATAAGAAGAAAATGTCTCCACGTACTTTCATCATCTTCTTCAGAGAGTTTTTGGAGGTCCTGGCCTTCCCCTGACTCCTGGGTTAAGCTTAGCATCCTCTCCTTACCCTTTTTGTACTTCTGTTGCCTGGCTTTGATGCGATCCATTCTATAAAATAAAGCCATATTAGTAGTGCCAAGAATACAGGCAGTTATTTTATGGCCAATGGACTTTTATATATATATGTCTAAAATCATGAACAAAGTAGTCAACTTACTTCAAGAATTATGATGAGATTATTGCTAATAAGCCATGATATACGTGTATTGTGTATAATAGAACATTATATATTGTATTACATATATATATTATGTAATCTATATAATCTACAAATATATAGTAAATATATACATTATAAATATTACATATTACCTATTGTGTAATTCATATGGCTACTTTACACTTCACAGATGCTAGACTCAATATGACCCATAATGGTTAAGGTTTGGCATGCAATTTTTGATGTGCATTCACATCTTGTATCACAGCCAGTCTGAAATGCCATATCAGAAAATGCAAGTTATTTTTTCAAGTTTTGAATTCTTAAACAAGTGGAAAAATTTATCATGGTGCATTACAATATAGGACTCTCTTATGAAAAGTGAGAAACACATTCTAAATGTTGGTTGAAATATGTTTTAAAAACAGTTGCACCATAATGCATTTGCATTATATATTTTTGCATATAACTCATACCTTTGTGAAAACAAACATGCCATGACATGATTTAATTTATATAAGGCTCTGCTTATCAGAAGGAAACTGAGATATAAATTCAGCATAATCTGAAGCTGTTACAAACTAGCTGTTCTTACAAACTAAAGGAACATTCCTGGTGAGCTGATTATTGAGCACTTCTATTTTCTTGGCCAAAGTGTCTAGGTTTGAAATTCTGTGGCCATCAGCTTTCAAACCTGGCCCCATATACATAAGTGGTACCAGTCTTTGGAAGTTCCATTCATTGCTGAAAATTTCATCCTGAGAACATTCTTTTCAACCAAATTCTTGACTTTCCTGAGAGAAGAACAAGAATGAAGCAAGATATCCTTACTGTCTCTTCAGCTGATCCATAGACTTTTTCTCTTCCTCAATTCTTGCTTTCACAGCTTTCACGATTGTGGCCTGAAAGAGTTCAGCCCCTCTAAAGGGAGATAGGAAACAGAACCAATTAGTATTCCTGCCTTTGTTCACCTTCCTCTGAAAATGATAAGTAAGATAAGTAATGATAAGTTAGAAAGCATGGCTTCCCCTTATTGTTGGCTGACTGAAGTTTCCTGGCTGGAGGTTACCAACTCCCTTCTGTGATGGTCACTTCCCTCCCCCCCCCCCACCCCCCCCGCAAAAAAAGAAAGAATATAAAATGTGAAATTGTTAGGACCAGGTCAAAATTAAGCAGATAGGGTATTGATTAGACCAAAGAAGAAGGAAATTTAACTGGGATGAACAAGTCCCAGGTAACCTCAGAAACATAGGTAACAGACCCTGGGAATAGAAGATTGCAGTCTGACAGTTACTGAAACTTGACCATTTGTATTGATTAAGAATAGGACCAGATGTTAAATTTCAAAGATAAATGACTGAGTAAAGAGTTAAGCACCAGGATGGCTGCTCTGGGCACTGGCTTGTCTCTAGGCCATTTGGGGAGCTATCAATGCTTTATGCCATTTGGGGAGGTAATGTTTTCCTAAGGCTATGACATCTGCATTTCTGTAAAGCAGAGCCCTCCTAGCTCACATCCCACTGAGTCAGCTATCTGCACTTCAAAAGAAAGCTTGCCCATATCCAGGCTTTAGACCTGGGTGCATAGCCCCCATCTCCTGCCTACGTACCAGGGTATCTGCAGGAAATAGTTAGGGCTCAGCCACCTTACTTTGCTTTGATGCCATTTGTAACTTGCTTCTCTGTCAATTATGAAACTGACACTGACCCCTGCGAGTGCTCCCCACCCCCCCAGGATCTTGCCTTTAAATACCCTGACTTCATAGCTGGTTTTCACATCTCCATAGTGGAGTTCAGATGTCATGGCTATTAAAATGATTCCTAGCCCTATTGACTGAGTGTTGGTGGGTGATACCTTTTGCCACTGGGATATTTCACTTCTAGAAGCCCTTTCCTGGTGGATAAACAAGAAAATGCACCCAGGGAGCAGGTGGGCTGCTCACTACCCTGGGAGGCCAGTGAAGAGAAAATAGTATTTTCCAAAGAGCAACAAGTCTCTTTTAAAGGCATCCCAGAAACCATGCTTAAGCATTATACACCTGACCTTATTAGGGTTTCTGGGTCAGATGGTAGTTCTGTTTTGACCTCTTTGAGGAATCTCCATACTGTTTCCATAATGCCTACATTAATTCACTTCCCACCAGCTGTGCATAAGGATTCCCTTCTCACTGTATCCTTATCAGAATTTATATATATATAAATTAATATATATAATATACATAATGTATAATTATATATAAATTGGATAGTTATTTATGTGAATTATTATATATTTATATAGTAGTGTTCATTCTGATAGTGGTAAAGTGATATTTTACTCTGGTTTTGATTTGCATTTTGTTGATTATTAATGATGGTAGGCATTGCTTTATATACTTGTTGGATTAAAAAAAATCTTCCCCCCCCCCTCCCTTCCTTCTTTCCTTCCTTTTTTCCTCTCTTTTTCCCATCTTTCCCCTTTCCCTTGCTCCCTCCCTCTTTCCCTTCCTTCCCTCCTGCCCTTTCTAGCTCTCTTCCAAATTAAGGTTTTGTACATGCTAAGCATGTGCCCTATCACTAAATTACACCTCAGCTTGAGTTTGCATATTTTCTTTTGTGAAATGTCTGTTCAGAATATTTTCTCACTGTTTTAATTGGAGTTTTAGTTAAGTTTTGTCAGTTCCTTAGCACAAATTTTAAATTACAAGTTGGAGAAATGCACTACCAATAAGATATGTAAAGTAATAGTAATAATGCTTCTCTCCAATGTCAGGAATTACTTCTTAAAATAGAGATAAGGAGAGGAAAGACTGAACTCTGGACTTAGATGGCCTGTATTGCTCTGTTACTGTTGGAGGCCAGAATGGGCTGCTTCCAGTGAAGGGTGTCTGTAGAGGGGCTCAACTATACTTGTGGACCACTTAACCATATCCTAAATTTTTATAAAGTGTCACATTGTATTACTATGTCTATTTTAGATCCCAAAGCTCTGCTTCTAAATTTTTCTTGCCCTGATTTTCCTGGAAGGGGTTTCTAAATTTTTTGTGGGGTTTCCCAACAAATTCAAACAGAAAACATAGTGTAACATTCCTTTTTCTAAGTTTCCTAATAAAAACCACTGAGTCTCACCCATATCTGACCCACCTTGAGGCCAGGATCTGTGAAGCTTTTATGTCTGCCACAACATGCAGGAAGTAGTAGCTCATGAAGACTCTTCTCTGCAGCAGAAGGAAGGCAAAGCAGATGCTATCCCAGATGATTCCTGCCTCTCCACTGGGCAACTTGCAAGATGAGTCCTCGTTAGCTGTGGTAAGGCAGCAGGGGAAAACACAGAAATTAACTTCACTCCCACTTCTACTTTATGAAATCTGTGCTATCCACAGTTCTAAGAAACACAGAGTTACAAGAGCAGCATTCTGTTGTCCTGATCTAACCATGTGCAGTTGAGCTTACAAGTGATGTGAGGTGGCTGAGCCTAAATAATTTGCAGCCATCCTAGTGCCTAGGCAGATGGGGGACTGGGCTCTCCACTCAGCTCCAAGGCCTAAGAGGTGAGACAAGCTATCCTTTGAAGTGCAGATGCCTGGCTCAATGGGATTAGCTAGGAGGGCTCTGCTTTACAGAAATGCAGATGTCATAGCTTTTGGAAAGCTGAATGCTCTGATTCTGCACTGATTAGCTCCCTAAATGGCTTGAATCACCAGCCTCTCAGTAGCCTCTAAGCACACCCTATCAGGAAGGTTAAGGCCTATCTTCCCTGGATGGAAAAGTTCTGCTGGTACCTGAGAATGTCCATTTAAAGTCTGGCATTTTGTCTTCAGTGGTGGGGGAAGGTGATGCCCCCTGCCCCCTTTCTCAGATATCCCAGACATCTGGGATAATTCACATTAGAACACAAGTAGGGCCAACGCTTTGGGTCCAATGTCAACATGGACTCATGATGTGACCCCACAGTGAGATCTTGAAACTAAAGCACAGGAAAGCCCCTGAAAATTTCTTCAAGAACCTCCAAAAAGGTTCACGGGAAAATAATGTCTTAATGATAGAAGAAATGCTCTGACACAAAAGACAGGACAGAGCTCTTTATCCAGCCTGACAATGAGTACAGTATGGGGTAATAGAAGGAGGGATGTGGGTAGCACATTTTATCTGAAGTAAAAACCAATTTTTAAGTGATGGCTGATGTGCAGTCTGATTCAGCCTTATTGGAAACCATGGTTAGGAAGAGTATCATGTCTAAGCAGCTCCCTTTCTGCACACCACAGGAGACCATGTGTGATGTATCCTGGGTTTTGATGCACGAAGTAGATGGCAGAAACAAGTCAACTCCAGAAAGCTTAGGGGTCCTTCCAATTGTTTTTCTGAATGTGAAGAAGCTCTCTGAGCTTCAAGAAGAAAGAAAGAAGTCTGACTTACCTTGAGGACCCAAGATATATCTGAATCTCTACCTCTACCTCTGTTTCATCTATCTATAAATGTATGTATGTATGTATGTAAAATGTATGTAGATAGGTAGGTAAGTAGGTATCTAGCTATGTACTTACCATCTATTCTTGAGTCATGAGTTATACCTGTAACTCATCTTTTGTTTTCGTTTTTGAGATTAGGTTCTTGCTCACTGCCAATTCTCACTTCTCCTGCCTCTGCATCTTGAGCATACTGGGATTATAGGCATTCTCTACCATTCCCGTTCTCAAAATTCTAACTGGAACAACTACAACTTAGAGTAGATATCTGGAATCCTTACTAATCATACTTCAAAAAAGCATAAGGAGTTACTATTTCACCATATCCAATCCCCAGATCTGCTGGGATTTTGGAAATTTCTGGAAAATGGTCTAAGAGGGAATATATGGATGAGGGCTCCTCATACTATGAACAATTTTCACACAAGGCATTACAGATCTATAACCTTCATTTAGGGAGAAACTGACCTCTAATTTAATATCTTTAATTAATGTATGTAGGTCCTGTTTTAAAATTAGAACATCTCATACTTACGCATTTTATAGCCTTTGACTGTACAGGCCAGGCTGAAGGCTTGGATCAACCAACAACAATTTTGTACCAATGCCCCAATGTATCCACATGCTCCTATCTGAAATACAAATGGGAGGTCAGTTCTCCATCTCTGAACCTAAAAAGCAAGTTTGGTTTCTTGTGACCCCAGCATGTGCAGGAATTCACAAGGACCCAATGCCAATGATTACAGAAGGGAGTTATACCTAAAAGTCCAGTTACCATGTTGGACTATTTTAGCTGCTTAGATAGCAAAGTGAATTCCTAAAAATTAGACCTAATGAGTAAAAGGAGGGTCTTCAGTGTGATGCCTCTGCAAAAAAACACTTCTCTTTTCAAGGAAGAAATTCTGAGCCATTTTAGGAAGAAACCCAGATTCTGAAAATAGATATACATTGAGACCTATGATTTTGATTTTGCTACACTTACTTTTACACAGGTCTGACAATTAAATCTATGCTATCCTCAAGGAGAGCATCCCAGACCTAAGCTGCGGGGCAGACTTCAAGGAACAGTAAGCAGAGATTGGCCTTTGCACCCAGGGGCTGTGCTTCTGGGATTCAACCAGCTTTGGCTAGAAAATATTTGGAAAACCATTGATTGTCCCTTATTGAACCTGCAAAGATTTTTGTTTGTCATTATTCCTTAAACAACGTAGACAAACAACTATTTTCATATCATTTATGGGTGTCCACGGAGGTTCCAACACCAGTCCTCAGGGGAGACCAAGGAAGGGTTTTGTCTTTTGGGGCTTGTTTGGCTAATTTTCTGGGTAAAGAAATCCTTTTTGTTGTTGTTGATCAGTAAATAGCTGTCTTACAAAAATGAATGTATCAAGATAGTTATGTTAAATTCCCTGAAGGGTGAATTTTAAATAGTCATTAACCACCTCTGGTCAACAAGGTGATAATTCACTGTGTGTATGGGGGGAATATGTGAGTATGGATCCTTAGGCCCTGTTCCTAAAGCAGTGGTTATTCAGCCAGAAATCCCAATTCCAATCTTATGCAATCAAACTTTTGTTCCTCTTGTAAGAGGCAACTTAAAAGAGTTTCAGCCAGATGTGGGTGGCTCACACCTGTAATCCCAGCTAATCAGGAGGCTGAGATCTGCTGATTGCCATTCAAAGCCACAGTAGGCAGAAAGGTCTGTGACATTTATCTCCAATTAACCAGCAAATGCCAGAAGTAGAGCTGTGATTCAACTGGCAGAGTGCCAGCCTTGAGGGAACAAGCTAAAAAATATCATCAAGGCTCTGAATTTAAGCCTTAGTATTGGGAGGGAGGGAGGGAGAAAGGGAGAAGGAGAGGAGAGAGAAAGAGAGGAAAGAGAGGAAGAGAGAGGCTTTTGCTGAGCCTGGTGAATTAACTAAAAGTCCCTCAACTTTGTACTTTGCTCTTTTATCTGTGCTGTTCTCTGAAGCAGTCAACTTTACGATCACCTTGGGCACCAAGTAAGATAAGCATCTTGTGTGGAAGGCAAATTACCACTCTAACAAGCAGTGTCTTCTCAGGAGACTACTAGTTCCTATTCTGTTCCAGTAATAAATGACAACAACTTTCCCAGAACTCCTCCAAAAGGGCAAAGACTGAGCTCATAGATTAGGTTACCAGGTCATACCCGTGTCTTGGGACTGCTTTAGCTCTGTATACCTTCCTCATCCCTTGCTTCCAGTTTTCCCTCTTTGACTTGAAGCCAATGTCAGATGGCTGAAATGTACTAAAGTGCTATCTTTCCATGGCTGACATGGAATAAATCTCCTTTTTTTGACTTTTACCATGTCTCTTTATTTGGCATATGGGGGTGAGTGATTGGATCTAACTTGGGACTCCTAGAGTTTTGGACCTTGTTTCTAAAAATTCAATTTCACTCTTTTCCAAGCAGGGGAACATCCTCCCTTCTTTGTGTCTCTGGAGAGTCTTGAATTTTCTTTTTTTTTTAATGGCATGAAGTTTAGGAATCTTACTCTCCACTTAGATTGAAGTAAGGAGACTGGGTCTAAGCAAAAGGCAATAGAGGACATTCTTCCATTTTAAAATGTGTTTTGAGTTGGTAAGGTTCAGAAAAGTCTTGATCTCCTTATTTGGTTTGGCTTATATTTATCATCTTTGTTAGATTTGAGTGCTCACTGGGTTTTTTATTTATTTTGATTATGTTCAGATCTGATTTGTTTTCTCCTTTGTTAGGATGAATTCCCTGCACCTTGTGTGGTTGTTGGCCATATACGCTGTGTGTTAGTTGTATTTGGCAAGGGTGAGGTAGGGCTTTGTGACTGGAGCACCCCTGCTGCCCGCTAGTGCTCTGATACAGACTCCAAAATCGGCCTTGTAAGTGGTGGCTTCTTTCTTCTCCAGACTGTGTCTACCATACAACAAGGTAAGATCTAAGCCAATTTTTATATTTGCTTTGTTCTTAAAATGTGTCAATCATTCTCATAAATGATTATATTGCCATAATTTTAAAATAGGTATATCTTCCTCTTTAGAATGTGGGTTCCCTAAGGGTAAAAACTGAATCCTATTTATCGCTAGCTCTTCAGCAAAGAAGCTTATAACAATGGACAGATGAATGGATAGATGGATGGATGGATGGATAGATGGATTAGCTCTAACAGGAGATCCTTCATCTTGAGACTGGCTCCAACATGAAATGGCCTGTTTTCCAGTCCCCTACCCTCTTTTTCAATTCTCAGTACTTTCCACATGTAAATTAATGTGAGTGGGGTAAAGTGCTGACCTGCCTGAAGCCATGTCTATCATCAACTAGAAAATTAATCTTTCAATAGACACTAGGCAAAATAAACTATGCAAATATCTATGACTATATAACGTGGCTCTCCTAGACCTCTAAACACAATGCTATACATTATATATCAGCTCCTTCCCATCACCTACAATAGCTTTTGCAGGTCACTGGCTGATGAGCTCATCCCTAAATACCTAGGTGGGAAAGAAGCAATGGATCATTACATAATCACTCTTCTAACTCACCACCAGTTACAGATGTAAGAAGCGGGCACAGGGCTAAGTTAAAGGCAGATGGAGAAGCACTGACTCCTTCAGCTTGAGCCATGCTAGATCCAGGATATTAAGGCACGAGACTTAGGAGTTAAGAATAGAATTGATGGGGGCTGGGAAGGTGGCTCAGTGGTAGAGTGCTTGCCTTGCATGCATGAGGCCCTGGGTTTGATTCCTCAGCACCACATAAGCAAAAAAACAATAAAAAGAATAGAATTGATATTGATAGATGACTTGATTTGGAATTCATTTTCTTAGGTTTTCCACTCTTCCATTAGGCTGTAGGAACTCACAATGCCTTTAAACTTTGTACAAATGATTTTCAAGAGCTCAGGCTAAGAATATCCTGGGTAAATATTTCAAGAAAAATACTTGGTAAAACTTGTTTTTGTACTAAAAGGAGATTTTGTCCAAGGTAAAGAAACGTAAAGACCCAGATTTAGTATACTGGCTAGCTTTAATGTCTCTCTGATCCCACATGGTCTGACATGATAATGTCAAGAATGATTAAGATGTACCAGGTACCCAAAACAAAAGGAATATTAACTCTTCTGCCTTATTTTCTAGTATAAGTACCACTAAGGCTTGAGTGTTCTGATACACAGGTTAGAGAAAGCTGTAGACATCTTCCCCTGGTGACCTCTTTGGTCCAATATAATGCTATAGATAAGCCCATAAAAGGTTCTTAACCAAATCCTACAGCACTAAATAACTCAAGGGGTATCCTTGGGGGCTAAAAGATAAGTGCTATAGAATTACCAATACTATAGAATTATGACTGGGCATGTAATTTATTTGTCCTGGTAGAGAAAGGACACAGGTATTTACTAGTAGAATAAACAGGATGTCTCTACTAATCTGAATGCCTCTGCTTAGAAGCCATTGCGATGCTGAATTCTTTCTGACGTCTACCACATCTAGGTATATAAGATATTCCTGCACCTCATTCTTTCTCTTTACCATTCCCCACCCCACATAACAGTCTATAGAGCTATGTTCAATTTATTTCACACTGCTACAATTTTCAAACACCACATTACTTTGAAAAGATTCGGTTCATCTGATTCAGTTAATCAAAGAGTCACTTGGTAATCCATGCAGTGAGTGATGACACCTCAAGAAGAATAGGATTAATTAATAAAATACATTGTAGAATCCATTCCTTTGAATACAGATCCCTTTGAAGTATGACCTTAAAGGAGTGAAAATGAGTAGAAAGAATTTGGCCTAATCTGGAGCAATAAAAATGTAGTAAACAGTCATTTGGATCTGCACCTTATCTGAGGTTTTTAACAGAGTCACATGAGAAGCATGAGGATTTTAATAACCACTGAGTTGATTGTTTACCCTTACACCAAAACTGCAAGTGTGTTATACAGTGAGATCCACTTACTGACAGGATATTTTTCATTGTAATCACAAAAACGTTGTATGCAATCAGCCAGTCCCAGTAGCGCAGGATGCTCTTGATGGGTTTCAATAGCAGGTCACCTCCAAAGAGCAGGAAATAGAAACAGGCCACTAAATAGCCCATGCAAAATATGCTGATCCTGGTTGTTCCCGTAATGAAGATGATAGTGAGGACGAACCAGAAGAGGTAGCTAAAGATGATCACTTTGGACATGTCCAAGTAAGATCTGGTGGGGGGGAAAAAAACCTCCAAACAGTAAAGAGACAACAACAAAACAAGCAAAAAGCAAAGTCAGGATTTCTACTGTATGAAGGGGAAAAATTCATACTTTATATTGGACTCCCTATGAGCACTTGGCAAACCATACTGTGATCTTTCATTTCACACTGCCTGGTGTATAGAAAACCCTTGCATCATTAGTAATGTACAAATAGATGAATTAGGAAAAGTCTGTGTGAATGTATGCTTATCATTTCCTTTTGGTCAAATTTCTCACAAATAGCTTCTTCTCAAGCAAGGTTAGAAAGAGGTCTGAAGTAGAGAAGCCATCTGCATGAAATGCTCACATACTCGGTGACTTATTGACATGAAGCCATTGTTACCTGCAGTGAATAAAATCTGGCACAGGGTTGTGTTGGCTGAATGAGGCTGCATCTAGGTTCATGCAAATTTCCACATTGTCCCCAGCCATGATTCGCACTGCAGCTTTATTTTCATCCTCAAAAATCTGCCGTTGCAAGGAGGCACACAGGAGCAGCATGAAGTCATCTGGCAAGACAAAGGTAGGTGACTAATACGTCATCTCCTGTTCTGGGGTCCAGAATGTCACAAGCAGCATGAGCTGGTCCCTAACTCCTGTGGGAAGTGCATCCCCAAAGTTCTTACTATAGGCCTACTTCTAGGGCCTAGAAACAATCTTCACTCCCCAGTGTGGCAGAGGGAAGACAGTATACACAAGGTGGGACCTCACCACGGAAAACCCTGGGTTCTGTTCTCCCATTGCTTTGTACCATTGTTTGGTGTTCATTACTAGGCTTCTAGTTGAATCTTTCCTGAGACAATATGGATTTACATTAATTTCCCATCTTTTTTTTTTTGAATTGAGGCTCCACTGGGAGCCAAGGTCTTCTCTCTTGGCTTTTTTCAGTCAAAACTGGTGCTCTACCACTTTAGCCACACCTCCACTTTTGGCTTTTGGCTGGTTAATGGGTGATAAGAGTCTCACAGACTTTTCTGCCTGGGCTGACTTGGAACTCTGCAGTCCTTATATCTTAGCCTTTTGAATAGCTAGAATTAGAAACATAAGCCATGTTTGCCCGGATTCATACTAGTTTTGAGAAAGCTTCTGGAACCCTTTCCTTCCTCACATTCTAATCTTTTACATGTGATAGATGTGACACTCCTGTTTTTGTTAAATCTTGCCATCTCCCAGTGCATCAGCAGCCACAGGACTTTTCCAGAGCATAGTCACACTGAAGGTCGCAGAGAGGAAGACAGGAAGGGAAATGTCTGAGAGCTGTTTGGCACAGACTCCCCAGGCCAGATCACCAGGGCCAAGTCACAGGTTGCTTCTTTGGTCCTAAAATTATCCCTGAAATATTTAGGGAGGGAGGGCACTTGAGTTTTCTATATTTCTTAGCACTCTCCACTGTCTTGGAGAGAGAGAGAGAGAGAGAGAGAGAGAGAGAGAGAGAGAGAGAGAGAGAGTTTGGGGGAAGGAAAGGAAACTGCTCCAATCTTTCATTTACTGGCTTCTTTCTTCAAAGGTTTTCACCTTGTATTCCAATCTTTTAATGAATCTGGTGGCCTCTTTTTTGCCACCACAGCTTTGTTTTTCATTTTGGCCTGCCTGACTGTGGCATCTTGAAACCTGTCCACAGCTCAACTTAAAAGACCCCCCTCTCCACCATTTTAGAAAAGGTGGGTGTGTAGATACACGTACTTAAGGAGGGAGTTGGAATTGGAAGGTGAATTATGCAAGTGAATGTGGTACTTCAATGTTGATTTATTAATATTTGCAAATGTAATAGAGCAATTAGGAGCCATTAATGACTTGCAATATTCATGAATAAAACAACCCTTTACATGATTGTAAAGTTCAGGGAAAGAAGCAAAAGCACTAATGCCTACTGTGTGAAGAATAAACAGCAAACGTAAACCCAAGTACTAATGTTGTGAGCCCTGTGGTAGAAACACTTACAGACCAAAAACACAGGGTTGGGCCGCACAATGAAATCAGGGAAGTATAACCATTTGATGATGTTGTCATTGAAATTGGCACCCTTGAACCTCCATGGGTAATCTGTGGGGGGAGGGGGGAGATAAACAGCAAGCATCAGTTCTCTAGTGGCCATTGATAATGACTTCTGCTAAAAGCAAGGTGGGGGCTGCTCACCTCGACAGGGGGCAGGTGGGATGCCAATGCAGATAAAGTACTGGAAGGTGATGATACAGGCCAAGAAGCAGCAGTACTTGGGCCAGACCTCAGCGATGGCTTTTCTTCTGCGTCGATACAAGACGGCAATCAGCCAACAGGCATGAATCATGGCATAGAAATCCATTCGCTGACCGATTACATTCACTGACATTAGGAAACAGGTCTGTGTAAGGGTGATAAGAGGCAAGAGAGACTGAGTTTACAGGGAAGGGGAATAAAATTGGGTTTTATGCACTTGCTAGGTTAGAGAACCTTTGCTTAGGCCATCTCTACTGAGTGTCTTTTAGTGGGATATAGAAATACTGTACAAGTTATTTCCAAAGAGATGTCTGACTACGCCATTGTCATAATAACCACCTCATATGGATGAGACGGACAGTGCTGATGTCATCATTGCAAATTGTTCTGTTAAAGGGATATCAGTGAAGTAGGCCCTGAGAGGAGACTGGAGCTGGTACAGCTTCTTTCCAGGCTTTGCCTTTGTTTTAAGGATTTTAGACTCCATTTTTGACTGACCTTTAAGGGTGGTGACTAAAAACTTTTGATTGTTCAGTTAAGGACTGACCAATAAAACAGATCGGTTGTAATCTGGCTCAAACTGGCAATATCACACGCTTACGGTAAACTCTGCTTTTTGCACGTGCTTAAGGTAAACTCCACTAAACTCCTCCTTTGTGCATGCTTACCATAAACTTCACCTTTTGCACATGCTTACCATAAATTCTGTCTTACCCACTGAATTTGTGAGCCATTCAAACCAAAAGCGATAGGCTGGTTTAAACAGCCATTATGAGACAAACTGTAACCTCACTGGCCACTTGCATGTGGTCTGGTATGACTGCAATCTTTTGTGTGTGTGACAATCTCAATGGTCACCTGCGTGACCCGGCTTGACCTCATGAATTTTGCCTTTAAAAACCAAAGTAGGTGGGCGGCTCGGGGTTGCAATATCAGCTCCGAGCCTGTGCTGTGGCCCTGGCTGGTCAGTGTAGGAACATTCTCAATAAAGTTGCTTCTTTGTTAACAACTTTGCTGCAGTGGGCTCTGTCACTCTGGAGGAGTAGGTGGGCTTGCCTGCCTGAGTAAGGGTCTTCCTACTACATCATTACCACAATCATGTCAGGTTAGAACATTCACTTTGGCCGCAGTTTGCACTTATAAAAAACAGAGTAAAAAAGAGGTTAGTAAGACATTTTTGGAGGTACCAGGACTGGAGCTGGAACACAGGGCCTCAGGCTCTTGATCAGCTTTGGGCTCAAGGCTGGTGCTCTACCACTTGGGCCACACCTCCACTTCTGACTTTTTGGTGATGAATTAGAGATAAGGGTCTCAAGAACTTTCCTACTTGGACTGGCTTTGAACTGCAATCCTCAGATCTCAGCCTGGTTAGCTAGGCTTACAGCACCCAACAAATAAAATTTTATTTTTAATATGGAATGAATAGGATAACTGGTCTCCACACATTTAGATGGTTCTTGACATCCAGAAAGGTCTCCATTGCAGTTGGGGAAATGGAAAATTCCCAGCTAACCTACCAGTAGCAGCAATATCTCTATATCCCAAGGGGGTCAGACTTCCTGAAGATAGCTGATGAGACTCTGGTGACCAGCTAGTCAAAGACATTACTTGACTTTTCATGGAAAACAGAAATAAATCACCTTGGTAAGAAAACTCACCTCCAGGCCAAATTTGTAGAAGAAGTAGTTTATGAAGTATTTGGCACAATTAATAAGCCCATCATCTAGATGCAATCTTGTAATGTCATGAAAGATAGTTTTAGACACGGGGGCTGTAAGGTTGTTGTGACCTCGATAGTACTCCTGATGGCGGTAGATGGTAACTTCAAAGGCCAGAATAGCCAACATCAGAAGATTATTCTACAAATGATAAGCAAGAAAAACCAACTGGGTATACCAAATATGTTATGATTTGTTACTTTTTTTTTTTTTTTTGGGTCGGTCGTGGGGCTTGAACTCTGGGCCTGGGCGCTGTCCCTCAGCTCTTCAGCTCAAGGCAAGCGCTCTACCACTTGAGCTACAGCGCCACTTCCGGTTTTCTGGTGGTTTATTGGAGATAAGAGTCTCACGGTCTCTCCTGCCCGGGCTGGCTTTGAACCGCGATCCTCAGATCTCAGCCTCCTGAGTAGCTAGGATTACAGGCGTGAGCCACCAGCGCCCGGCTATGATTTGTTACTTTTAAGCAATCCCCTTCACTGTACTTAATTTTGGATATCTAAAAGGACATTTTTAATAAAAATTCTACCTGCATTCAATGTAGGATTGATTGTAAGGCTTATTTTCTCTGTCTTATTAATTGTGGAGTAATCTTCATTGTAGAAATCAGGCTGGGAGCCATGGTAACAGGATCTAGAATCTCTCTCTCTTTTTTTTTTTTTGGTCAGTCATGGGCCTTGAACTATGGGCCTGGGCATTATCCCTCAGCTCTTCATCTCAAGGCAAGCGCTCTACCGCTTAAACCACAGCACCACTTCGAGGATCTTGAATCTCTATACAACAGATGGGTTGCTCCTTCTACTTACTTGCTAAGTATACTTCATATGCTGAGGAAGCAGAATACCTGCTTACTGGAGGATGACAGTCTAATCTTATTTGGAACTGTAAGTGCATATAGAACAGAGATATCCTGGAAGCATACTATGCTGGAGGAGTGGTATGCCAGCTGGAGGGGAAGCTTTACTACTTCTGAAATCTGACCAGAGAAATTATGCTCATGAGGGTAAAATTATAGTTCTTATGATAATGATGAAAATAACTAATGTATGAGTAGATGACAGATATTAGTCAAATTGCTCTTTTCAAATATTAATGTATTTTATCCTTCTAAAAGCAACTTACAGCACTACCTACCATGTAAAGAAAAACTGTAAATGTGCAGTATATGAAGTTTTAGTACATTTAAAAATCCTAGCCAGGCACTATTACTCATACCTGTAATTCCTAGCTACTCAGGAGGTGGAGATCTGAGGATTGAGGTTTGAAGCCAGTCTGGGTCAAATTTGAGAGACTCTTACTCCAATTAACCATCATAGAGTTGGAAGTGGAGCTATGTCCCAAATGGTAGACTGACAGCCTTTCATAGAAAAAGCTAAGGGAAGAACACCCTTGCCCTGAGTTCAACCCCCAGTATTAGCAAAAATCTCTTTCTCTCTTTATTTCCCTCCTTCTCCTTCCCTCCTTCTGTCTGTCTGTCTGTCTCTTTCTCTCTCTCTCTGTCTTTCTCTCTCTCTCTCTCTCTCTCTCTCTCTCTCTCTCACACACACACACATACAAACCTAACTGCCAAGTGTATGATTTTATTTTAAATGCATGGCTAGTGTAATATGACTGCTTAAGTTATTTGTCAAAGTAAAATGTGAAAAAGTATAAGTTATTTAATGTTTGCACTATGTTTCTTTGAATATTCGCCATCAAAGTTCTTTTTTTTTTTAATTGTGAAAATACTGTACAGAGGGGTTACAATTACATGGGCAAGATAATGAGAACATTTCTTTCAAGCATTGTAGCCTCCTCCTTTGTTTCCTCTTCCCATCCCATCCTCCCCCCACCCCCTTACTCAACCCTCCTCCCCCCCACCTACCAAAGTTGTAAAGTTCGTTTTCAACATAACTACTTGTACGTCTCGTTGTTGCAATGGGTCCACCTGTATCCCTATTTAAACGATTTGTTTTTTCCCTTCCCCCCTCACAAATTATAACAACATCAAATACAGTGAAAGCAGGGGTTATACCGTGGGGGAGGGACATACAAAGCAACAAAGGAATCATCTTATAAATGTGTTAGAAATAATCGCATGAAAGAAAAAAACATTTGAAAACATATCTTAGGGTTCATTTCCCTAACATCAACTTAACTGACCTTTTCTGCTTGACTCAGACATATACTAGTTATTGCAAATAAGGGAAACCATGGGACCTATGTTTCTTTGGGCCTGGCTTACTTCACTTCATATAATTTTTTCCAAGTCTTTCCATTTCCTAACAAATGGGGCAATGTAATTCTTTCTTATGGAACGCCATCAAAGTTCTTTTGCAAAGATTGTTTTTATTATTTCTAACTATAATATATATCCTTTTAAAAATATGGAGAGACAGAATTTAAAAATGAAAAATTTTGGGCAGGGAAGGTGGTTCAGCGGTAGAGCGCTTGCCTTGCATGCTTGAGGCCCTGGGTTCAATTCCTCAGCACCACATAAGCAGAAAAGAAAAGTCGGAAGTGGCGCTGTGGCTCAAGTGGTAGAATACTAGCCTTGAGCTGAGGGACAGCACCCAGGCCCAGAGTTCAGGCCCCACGACCAGACCCCCCCCCCAAAAAAAAAAATTAAAAATTTCTTGCACTGCAATGCTAGTGTTTTGTAAACTATGGGATTTCCTTTCCAGACAATTCTTCTTTGTCTCCAGGGTGTTAACATTATGCATGCTGTTATAAAATATGTTTTTAAAAAACTTAGCAATTTATTTTGGACATGTTTTAGTTCTGATTTTTTCATTGACCTTGCTTGATGAGCTATTTAACATATATTTAATATATTTTATCTAAACAAAGTAAGATTGCTTGGCTAACTTCTCTTCAGCATACAAGATCAGTACTGATTTTAATATTCAGTTGTTTATTGCCAAGGTGATTCTAAAAGCCATGTAAGAAGATGCAGTGACTGTCCCACAGGGTGCTGAGGCTGTCATGGGAGAGGATTACAAATTGTATCTGTGCAGTGGCCCAGGCTAAACACAGGAAAACCATTACCCTCAGATAGACAAGCAAAGGAGAAGACTTCCTCAGGCCAACCCATTCTGTTGGGTCAACAGGAGCACTGTAGAGCAGAGACTTGTTCAGCTCATGAAGGGGTATGTTGGTTTGATTTTCATTTGGCTAAAAAAGGAGAGAGAAAATAGAGTCAGTTTGTCAAGTGGGCATGGGCAGATTTTTCTCCCTCAGCTCTGGGCTTGGTAGATTTGGGAGCCCATTTCAAGGGGGATCTAAGCTCCAGAGCAGACTTAGGTCTAGGCTGGATAGAATCAGGCTGGCTGACATGACCCATACTCTAGGCTATATGTGCTTGGGGATGGTACAGGCTCTGCAAATATCTGACTTGCTTTCTGAGAGGACATCAGGAAGGTCTCCCATCCTTGAAGCTCACCAAGGAGCAGTTGACAGAAAAGTTCTCAGGCTTAATAGTTTGTAGCTGGTACAACATTTTGCAGATGATGATCACACATGTCCAGACAGTGCAGACACTCGAGGCCACACGGCGGAGCTTGGCATATGGCAGAGCAAAAGCCCAAGATATCAAAAATACATAGTTGAATAGAGATACCTGGAAACATAAAATCAGAAATGGGGACAAAAATACATGATATGAAATAACGTTCAAGGGAAGATGACTTGGCTTCTTCAGTTTAGCAAGTATTGCTTGTATCCTTACATGAATAGGGACTAAATGAGTGAATTATGGTCTGAAGGATACTTTTATATGGAAGACAGATAGGCATATGATTATTTATTATCAATAAAATACAGCAATATCTAAGTTACAGATGTGTGAGTTTCTGTGAGAGCATTTACAAGGGATCTTTGATCTGATGAAGGGGTTCACAAAGAGCAGAACCAGGTGAATGGTGTGAGTAGTGAATGTGAATGATAAATAGTGAATTCCAGGTCAATGGTGCAGAGGCCAAGGCAGGAAAGGGTGGAAAAGTATGGGGAGAACAGAACTATAGATAATTAGGAATTAAGAGTTGGAAGTATGAAATGTCACAGTGGACCAGGCCCTGGTGCCTCACACCTATAATCCTAGCTACTCAGGAGGCTGAGGTCTAAGGATCATGGTTTGAAATGAGCCTGGGCAGGCAAGTCTGTGAGACTCTTATCTCCAATTAATCACCAAAAAGCTGGAAGGGGTTCAAGTGGTAGAGCACCAGCTTTGAGCAAAAAAATCTAAGGGACAATGCCCAGGCCTTGAGTTCAAGACTCAGTAAAATGAAGTGAAGTAAAATAAAATGCCACAATGGGTGAGGATGGAGACATAACCAGGAGTCTAATTTCAATGTATCTCTTCTGAGCCATGCAATGGCATGTGAACTTGTTCTACAGCAAATGGAGAGCCCTGAAGGATCTTTTGACAAAGAGTTTGAAAGTAAAGTATAATCTCCTTCTCCTCCTTCTCCTTCTCCTTCTGCTTCTGCTTCTGCTTCTCCTTCTCCTTCTCTTTCTCCTTCTTCTTCTTCTTCGTCAGTCGTGGGGCATGAACTGTGGGCTTGGGCACTGTCTCTCAGCTCATAAGCTCAAGGCTAGCACTCTACTACTTGAGCCACAGTACCACATTTGGCTTTTTTCCCCCTGTTTATGTGGTGCTGAGGAATTGAACCCAGTGCCTCATGCATGCAAGGGAGGCACTCTACCACGGAGCCACCTTCCCAGCCCCAATCTCCAACTTCTTTAGATAAATGCCATGGAAGAATGGAGGATGTGATATGGGTTAGACTGGAAGTCAGAGACCAGCTACTCTGAATCTGCAGTGCCTAAAGGCATGTGGAATCATGGCTGTAAGGAAGCATTATGGAGGATATATTGGACTTAAGTGGAACATGCAATTAGTGGATTTGTGACTGAATTGCTTGATGGAGGGCAGGGCAGACTGAATGGATGATAGAATCATTGCTGAGACAGGAAATGCTGAGAGAGGTGCTGGTTTAAGGAAGGAGAACAATAAATTAAGCTCAAATATATTGGCTTTCAGCTGCAAGTGAGGTTATCAATCATGAAGATATCCTCCCATTCCTAGTGATTTTCCTTGAATAGTACAGAAGCACCTCTGACTTATTCAGCCATGGAACATGTTACATATTGTTAGGAGCTGGGTGCAGGTGGCCCATGCCTGTGATCCTAACTGTTCAAGAGCCTGAGACCTGAGGGCTATGGTTCAAAGCTAGCCTGGACAGGACAATCTGTGAGTCTCTTATCTCCAATTAACCACCAAAAGGCTGGAAGTAGAGTTGTAGCTCAAGTAGTTGAGCATTAGTCTTGAGTGAAGAAGCTAAAGGACAATGTCTATACCCTGGGTTCAAGCCCTAATACTGGCACAAAAAAATTCCCTAGGAACACTTAATACTATCAGAAGAGGATGACAGTGTGTGCTCAACATGAAGTTGAACACTACCAAGACAAAGCTCTATGGGTGGTAGGAGGGAAGGTTAATAAAGAAGAATAGGCTTACAAAGCCACAAAGTGAGAAAATGTAAAGATTGTGCCACAGTATTTGGAGTTTGTTATCTACTGTTTTATTTAACTACTTATTTCTATCCAAGGCAAGGGATCTCAGGATTAAGGGCTGAACTATTAGGGTAGTAAGAATTGCCTTAAAGAATCAATAGAGAATAAAAATAGGTCTCTGTAAACTATAAAGCATTCCTAAGCATAATAACTTTCTTATTGTACCAAAATATTTTATGCAATTATGCAATTTTATGCAATTGACTCTCCTCTAATCACCAAATGTTATACTAAGTTGGATGTTTGAAAGCAAATCTTAGCTGAGCACCAGTGGCTCACACTTGTAATCATGGCTTCTCAGGAGACTGAGACCTGAGGATTTCAGTTTGAAGCCAGCCCAGGCAGGAAGGTCTCTGAGACTCTTATCACGAATAACCACCAAAAAGCTGAAAGTGGTGGTGTGGCTCAAGTGACAGAATACTAGCTTTGAGATAAAAAGCTATGGTACAGCTAAAGACCCTGAGTTCAAGACCACTCCCCCACAATTCTATGAAAACATTGTGAAATTAACCTCTTTGTTGTTTCTTTTACTGTTTATTGAAGGCATTGAGTATAAAAACAACACAATTTGAATAGAACTCCACTTTCTGAATAATGGGGAAAAAGTAGAAAAGAATAATAATTTTCTTAAATCCTAAGTAGTTCATGAGGGCTCTTGACTTGGGAAGGTCATGGGATGCTGCACTGAGATGTCCATAGCAGCCTGAGACAATGGAGTAGAATGAGCATTCTGCCTGGGGAGAGCCATACTGTTTTGGGAGCACACAGCTGAACATAATCCAAGATGAGGAAAGATGATCTGTAAGACATTAGACCTGAACTGAGACTGCAAGTGTAAGCACAAGATAGGTAAGCAGAAGAAAATGCAGGTGCAAGGACATGTAGACAAGAGTGAACATAAGAGGGACACATCCCTGGAGAGGCAAATGGTTGGGGGGGTGGGTGGGTAGTGTGATAGTGTGTGTGTGTGTGTGTGTGTGTGTGTGTGTGTGTGTGTGTTGGGACTTGGGATTGAACTCAGGACCTAGACACTTGGTACTGTCCCTAAGCTTTTCCACTCAAATCAGTTACTGCTCCACTTCCAGCTTTTAGTGGTTAATTGAAAATAAGTCTCTCATGGACTTTCCTCCTTGAGCTGGCTTTGAATATTGATCCTCCTATCTCTGCTTCTTTAAGTAGCTAGGATTATAGGCCTGATGCCTGGCTATAGAGGACTTTAAAACAGATTTATGTCCTTGAGTTTAATAATAAGTCTTAATGAAGTGTTTCATATCATGTGATTGTGAGCACAAGAGAGAGAGCGAGAGACAGACAGACAGACAGATAGACAGACAGACAGACAGACAGACAGACAGACAGACACAGAGAAGTCAGAGCCTGGGTGCTATCTCTTGGATACTTTTTCTCAAGGATGGTGTTCTACCACTTGGGCAACACTTCCACTTCCAGATTGTTGATAGTTAATTGGAGAGAAGAGTTTCATAAGCATTTTCTGCCTGGGCTGGTGCTGTCTTCAAACTTCAATCCTCAGATCTCAGCCTCCTGAATAACTAGGATTACAAGCCTGAGCTATCAGTGCCCAGTTTAGCTTAACTTTTTAGATTGTAGGCAGTGGCTTCCTGACTTAGTTTTTAGCAAAGATTGTTTGAACGGTGACCAACTCAAAAATAAACCTAAAAATTAAAATTAAATTTGTAAATATTATACAAAATCACTTGTTAAATAGAGATTCTAACTAAAAACTCATTCAGAGAAGGTTAATTTTTCACAGCAAAGTGAAATAATTGTTGATAATGGTAATTTTTCTTTACAAACAAGAAAACAGAGGGTTTATACAACTGGATCAGACACTTAGTGTCTTGTCTCCAAAAAGAAAAACAGCCCAATAGCAAAAAAGTTGAGTACTAGTGAAGACTTTATTCAATTTCAGCACTTGAGTTTACACCTTGGTAATATAAACTGGAGTATTACTATTTGCCTTAAAGACAACTTTGGGAGATAGATTCCCACACGTAGTGCAGAAGAGCTAACCATTCCATGAAATTCACCAGGACTGGATGAAAATAAGAAACCAAGGTATCATGACCAAGCCATTTAGGACCTAAGCCACCAGACTTTCCACTCCTTCTGTCTTTTCAGTTTCTTGGGTATTCTGCATGTCAAAGCACATGTACCTATCTTCCAGTTGAGATGTTCTAACATAATAGGCATTGAATTAAAAAGCACCATGGAGATATGAAGAAGGAAATAGATAGATGGCCTACTGTGATTGGCTCTATTCTGCATGATAATACAACAAACATTGACTTGCCTCTTTCACAGTAACCCAGATAATGTAGGAGGAAACAATTTTGATGATGTGCAACTCCAAGATCCACCACATGAACACTTGCAATTTGTGAAAATACTCCAGGAACTTTAAGAAGAGCACAGTGAGGCGATCAATTACCAGGTGCCATTTGTTTCTCAAATCTGGAAAACAGTAAGTTCACCCAAGAGCATGATGATTTTATGTCTTGTTCATTAAACTAAAAACTTTCGGGGCTGGGAAGGTGGCTCAGTGGTAGAGTGCTTGCCTTGCATGCATGAGGCCGTGGGTTTGATTCCTCAGCACCACATAAGCAGAAAAAGCCAGAAGTGTGCTGTGGCTCACCTTGCGCTGAAGAGCTGAGGGACAGCGCCCAGGCCCAGAGTTCATGCCCCACAACCGACAACAACAACAACAACAACAACAAAACCACCACCACCACAAAAACCCCTAAACAACAATAACACCAAAAAATAACAAAAAAATCTTTCAGAGAAGCTGCAAAATAGTTGAGAGTTGAGGACCTAAGAGCCCCATGGCATACTGATGGCATGGACATTATAAACTGAGACTCAGAAACAATGTTATTGTAACCACACGTCAATTATTGATGTTGAGAAGAATTTTGATGAAACTATGATTCCCTAGTTCTCTTCAATATTAAGTATCCTGAGCTCTCTGTCAAGCTCTCTAACAAGTTTGTTGTTAAAATGTTGTTTTCAGAAGTCATTGGCTAAAGCTCTCCTTCCTGTCTGAGGTAACATACCTGTCTATAATCTGCCAGAGGTAAGAACAGCTTGCTCATTCTGCTTCCAAATGAAAAAATGAACATTAGATATTTGGATGACCTAGTCTACAGATTCAAGAAATGTGATCAAGTTCATTCAAAACCATTTTTTTTCATTTTATCAAGACATGTTATTCTTTCCACCTTGTGGTAGATATATATGCTTCTCTCTAGGACTTTGCTAGTTAATCTGACTGAAAGCTGAAACAGGTCTGCTTTGGCCTGTCATATCTGCACCATGGATTACCTCATCATATTTGTAGACAGAAGCTCACATTCTCTACCTAGCATCATGAGTAGATTTAACAGTTATTGCATATAGTTCTGAACATTAAGGTTTCAGTTGTGAAAAATGCTATTTACAACACGACTCAGATGCTGGTCAACAGAAAGTTCTGGGTGCTAGGTGAACATGATTTGGGGCTGTACACAGGTAATATACCTGATGATATGGGGGTACAAAGGTGCAGTGCAATTTTTGGTGAATCCCTATTAGTAAAGTTCAACCTTCCTGAAAGCAACAATGGAAGATCTGAGTCTTAATCCCTTATACTGAGGTGCAGGTGCTTCTCAGCTATGGGAGGTGGGGTGGGAGGGATATCTCTGGTCCTTTCCTTATGTCTTCTGAGATGAGCAGGAACAGGGACCAGGTTTACAGGAGGAACTTGTCTTTGAGAGGAATCTTCTTCCTTATGTGCTTTGTATTTTCTACTTTTGTACAGAAGAGGAGACCATGAAAAACAAGGGCAGCAGGCTGGGTGCTAGTGCTCATACAAAGGCTGAGACCTGAGGATCATGTTCAAAGCCAGCCCAGGCAGAAGAGTCCACGAGACTCTTATCTCCTATTAAGCTCTAAAAGCCAGAAGTGGAGCTGTGCTCAAGTGGTAGAGTGCTGGCCTTGAGTTAAAAAGCTCAGGGATGTAGCCAGATCCTGAACTTAAGCCCCAGGGCCAGCACAAAACAAAATAAAAACAAAACAGAAAACAAGTATGGCACCTCAGTGTCCCACCTCAAAGATGGCACTTTCTTCCCTCTTATACCCTCTGGGTACTGTAACGAAGACTGAGCTGGTTCTGTCCTTTGCATTTTCTGTCAGGGAGCATTTCCTAATTACTAATGCCATCTGATTCCCATTACATCCTGTTAAAATATTATTTCAAGTCTAGGAAGACACAGGAAAGAAAACCCTAACATCAAAGTGGACAAAGAATATGCCTAGATAACACCTTCAGGAGCTGGCTTGAAATGATCCACTGTGGAACTGCACATCTTCTTAATTCTTAGTTACTCTTTCCCAGAAAAGCCCAGACAGGCTTCCTCAATGAAATGGTGAGACAAAGGAAAGGGTGAACCAATGGGACAGCCATACTCACAAGACACTGTGCTGGAAATGAACTTTACAACTTGAGGGGGAGGAGAGCTTCAGGGGAGGGGGAGGGGGCAGGGAAAGTGGGAGAAAAACGAGGGAGGGGGTAACAATGTTTGACAAGAAATGTACTCACTACCTTACTTATGTTATTGTAACCGCTCCGTACACCACCTTTACAATAAAATAAAATCAATTAAAAAAAGAACATGTGTAAAGGTGATGCCAGGTACTGTCCAAGGCACCTGCACAGGGACTGGTTTCTCCTTGTAGGGAAGGCCCCTAAGAAAATGGTGACATATGCCCCGTGGTGCCTTGTGGCCTCCAAAGCAAAGCTCTGCCAGGTGGTCTGGACTCAGTAGCCAGCCATCTGGTCTTTTCTCAGTCAGATTAGAAGGAAATAATTGGAGCAGCTGAAACAAGAATATTATAGCAACCAAACATATAGTACCCCAATACAACCAGGAATATAGCAACCAAAATCCAGTAGACCTCTCCCTTTTATTTCTCAGAGTCACACATAGATCCTTTGGAATAGGCCTGCGATTCATTCATTCAGTCAGAACAACTGCTGAGAGTGGGATGATTACCTGATGTCTCTTCCTCCTCCTCTGACTCCTCCTCTTCATCTTCATCCTCCTCGGACACATTGCTGTCTTTCTCAAGCTCACCCTCCTCAGCCTTTTCAGTGTATCCCTCTAGCTTCTCCTCCCCAGGCTCCACCAGCTTCTTTTCTAGGCTAGAGGTCAGATTCAGCATGGCCAGATCCGGGAGGCTCCCTTCAGGGTGGGCCAATCTGTTGGCAGAGAACAGCTGAGTCAGAAGAAGAGGGCCAGGAGAGATAAGAACCAGGGGCAAGTCAAAGGAGGATAAATGAAATGAGAATCAGTGCATGTACAAAGACCTTGCAAGGGCGGGGGGTGTTAGATCTTGCCACCTTTTATTGGTTTGTTTTAAGTTCTTTTGAAAAACAAACTCTCAAGTCAGGTTTTAGAAGCTTTTCATACTCAAGTTCCATTGACTAATCAGGAATGAGAACTATTGACACCTAAACTTGACATTTTCCTCCCCAGAGGAGACAATGGTCAGAGTTTAGGATGTAGAAGCATGAAATGGCACATGTAGAACAAGCATTTCATGACTTCACGGGGGACTTACTCATTTTGGTGGATTGGTAATTTTTTCTTGATGCTGCTCAATGTAATTGAAATAGAGAGGGAAAAAAAGGAGATGAGAACAGACGAATTATAAGGAGAGTCAGAGATCATACATCATGCTACACATCACTCACTATTGCATTCCTGTATGCCTCTTGCAGGAACCGCCTAATGCCAAGTGCATTCCAGGACGGCATGAGTAGCGTGCTTTTGCTGTGACCCTAGGCTTAGCAAGTGATCTGAGTGGAAACGACTGCGGGCTTGTGAGGAAGAGAACATAGAGACTCCTGAGGCGAAGCTTACTGTGCTCTTTAGGAACGCAACAAACCATCTTGTAAGAATCAGGAAATTATCTTTTATTCAGATTCTTAAATAAGGTGTCTTCTCAATCAATGTTGGCAGCAGCTAACCCCACTCTACCAGCTTCAAATACAAATGCAACAGAAGCAAAATGCCCTCAGGAATTGGGATATGCTGGTATCAGCTCATGCCTGAGGGTGACTGATGGCAGCTATGGACTGGAGGCAGCAGTGGAAGACAGTAGGAGGGAACCTGAGCCTGAGTGAGAATAAGGAAGTTCTCACTGAGCCCAGACAGCTGCATTGAGCCTACAGTTTCTCTCATAATGTAAATGACAGATACAATTCTTCTCTCCCTTGTAGGTATTTCTCTCTCTCTCTCTCTCTCTCTCTCTCTCTCTCTCTCTGTGAGTGTGTGTGTGTGTGTGTATGTGTGTGTGTGTGTGTGTGTGTGTGTGTCTGTGTTTTCTGATCCTGGGGCTTGAACTCAGGACCTGGGTGCTGTCCCTGAGCTCAAGGATAACAAACACTCTACTTCTGGCTTTTTTTGGTGCTTAATTGGAGATAAGAGTCACATGAACATTCCTGCCCACTCTGGCTTCAAACCATGATCCTCAGATCTCAGCTTCCTAACTAGCTAGGATTACAGGTATGAACCACCAGAGCCTGGCCTGTTTCTTTTTTAAACCTGTGGCATTAGGCTGCTTTGTCTATGTCCTAAATGTGATTGGATATGGACACTGCCACCTATTTCTTTACTTCAGCAGTGCCAGATTATACTATGTAAGTGTTCTCACTATGATTAGGACCAAGAATTTGTGACCATCTTAGACCAAGAATTTGTATCTGTATCAATTTCATACTGACAAGAAGATAACTTTTGTCTATAGAGCAAAAAAAAAAAAAAAGTTCTTAGCCATGAGACTATTTATGATTCAGGTAGAACCAGAGCAAAACATCCCAGTATTTCTGAGCCTTGGGCAGAGATAGAGTGAGGTCAATCATTAAATGGAGGAACTGAAGGAAGACCTGGAACAAGCCTTTCAGAATATCTGCATTTCTTGCTAAAAACTTGTAATCCTCTACAAGACCTCTGAGGTAGGTGGGGCTGAGGATGAAAGAGTCCTGAAATTCCATCACTCACTGTTGCTCATTGTACTCTGAAACAATCCTTATGAGGAAATGGGGCAAGTGGCACCCGGGATCCTCTGGAACAAGCAATTGAACCTTGAAAGCCTGGGGTGACAGAGAAAAAGGAGAAAGTGTGTATGGGGCCGTTGTGTTCTAGCAGAGGTGCTTGCTAGCTATCTGAGAACTTGGGCGAGTTGTATTTTGCATGGAACATTCATAGAATTGATGTGTCTTAATCAGGTAGAGATGAAAAAGTACATGATTGAATGATAGTGCTTTAAAATAATATGAAATTTTCTTAATTTCAATCTATCTATCTATTGCTCAATTTTACTATACTTTTATGGAGGCAATAAAGAAGAATGTTGAAAGCATGGGGTTTTGGAGTCAGAAAGACAGGTTGAAAGCTCGGTGCCAGTGGCTCACATCTGTAATCTTAGCTACTTATGAAGCTGAGATCCGAAGATCACAGTTCAAAGCCAGAAAAGTCCATGAAACTATTATCTCTGATTAACCAGCAAAAAGCCTGAAGTAGCTCTATGGCTCAAGTGATAGAGCACTAGCTATGAATGAAAAAGCGAAGTAAGGGCATGAGGCTCTAAGTTCAAGCCCCAGTACTGGAACAGCAACAAAAACAACAAATTGAAGCCCAATGAGATCACTTCCCAGTATATAAAATGGCAAACTATTTAACCTGTCCTTGTAAGTCTCCATTTGCTGATCTGTAAGCTGGAAATAATTGTGCCTACTTCATACGATATATAGAAAACAAAGGTAGTTTCTGTAAGTACTCAGTTATATTAAGCCATCTTTTTTATTGTGATTAAGTGATTATATAATTTCCCAAATTTCACAGTATTGTGGGATAGTGATGCTCAGTTAAAGTCACAAACACATTCTAACTTTCCTGGAGCAAATTGTTTATCATGGTCTATAACATTTATGAGTTCTATGAGCTTTGCGATACAGTTATTTCTTCCACATTGGTGATATGTACATCTTTTGTTTTGCATAGCATCAGCTGTTCCCTCTTTCCCACTTGTTCCCTTCCTCCCATATATTAAGCCATCTTTGAGGACAGGTTTTCTTATACTGAATTTTAATAACCCTTTAATATAAAGGCATAATTAGAAACATGCTCTTACAAGGGACCACTCAACAACGGATAACAGAGCAGATGCTAAACTTAGTATAATCCTCTGCCCATTGACAGTTTGTGTACTTAAAAGAAACGTTCAGAACACATTCTGATACTTCTTTCTGGGAATCTATCCTCCAACATTTTCCATGGGTTGTTCACACTGCTGAGTGTAGCTTCTGACCACTGTATTCACTGGGAGGTAGGGCTTCATTCATTATGGATGTGTCATGCACAAATGCAGAGGGTTAATGGGCTATTGTTCGCTAGACAGATCAGCTGCTCCAGAAAACTATTAACTCAGCTTTCTTTCCCCTTAGCAAATAATAATAAAAAAATCTTGAGGGGCTGGGAAGGTGGCTCAGTGGTAAAGTGCTTGCCTTGCATGCATGAGGCCTGGGTTCGATTCCTCAGCACCACATAAGCAGAAAAAGCCAGAAGTGGCTCTATGGCTCAACCGGTAGAGCACTAGCCTTGAGCTGAAGAGCTGAGGGACAGCGCCCAGGCCCAGAGTTCAGGCCCCAGGACTGACCAAAAAAAAAAAAAAAAACTTGACTTTTCCTCCCTCCAAATTAATAGTGAGAAGTACACTCTGGTGAATAAGTACATCCCTCAAAATGTCATGCTAAGGAACTTAGAATACTTGAAATTCTTTTTTTTTTTTTGGTTGGTCGTGGGGCTTGAACTCTGGGCTTGGGCACTGTCCCTGCGCTTTTCAGCTCTTCAGCTCAAGGTGAGCGCTCTACCACTTGAGCCACAGCGCCACTTTCTACTTGTAATTCTTTTTTTTTTTTGGGGGGGGGGGTCCAGTCATGGGGCCTGAACTCTGGGCCTGGGCGCTGTCCCTCAGCTCTCCAGCAAGGCTAGCACTCTACCACTTGAGCCACAGTGCCACTTCCAGCTTTTTTTTTTTGCTTATGTGGTGCTGAGGAATCGAACTCAGGGCCTCATGCATGCAAGGCAAGCACTCTATCACTGAGCCACCTTCCCAGCCCCTACTTGCAATTCTTTTTTTTTTTTTTTTTTGGGTCCGGTCATGGGGCCTGAACTCTGGGCCTGGGCGCTGTCCCTCAGCTCTTCAGCTCAAGGCTAGCGCTCTACCACTTGAGCCACAGTGCCACTTCCAGCTTTTTTCTTTTGTTTATGTGGTGCTGAGGAATCGAACCCAGGGCCTCATGCATGCAAGGCAAGCACTCTACCACTGAGCCATCTTCCCAGCCCCCTACTTGCAATTCTTTACTGATCATTTTGTGTAAATTATTTATTATTCAGAAGAAGGATTTTTATTGTGGGACTCCAGATAGACATGCTGATGGGCCCACTGTATTCTCAGAGAATCTCTTTCCTCTACTCTCTCATATCAAATGATGACATATGCCTGTCTCCATAGGGATTTCCCTTTCTTCTCTTTACATTTCTTTATCTTTACAGATACTTTTCTCTCGTTGCCTTTATAATGGTTTAGGCTCTGATCCACTTCCTGAGCATTTCAGAGGTAAAATGTTTCTCTTCTTTCCAATTGTAACTAAGAGATACCATCCATCTGTTCATTTATTCATCCACTCTTTCCTTTATGTCTTCAACCTGTGCACTTCTTTGTACCCACATCATTTAATTTTCAGTATGTTTTGTGGGCACTCTTTTCTTGAAGGCAGAATTCTAGTCTTGCTCTCACCAGCTCCTTTGCTCAAGGCAGTGCTGTTTTTGGTACCCACTGTGGCCCAATGAGTGCTGAGTCTGATGTTCTGTGCTCTGGGGACAAAATCTTTGTTGAAACAGGAGAAACAAATTTTACTCTTGAACTAGGATGAAAAAGCTACCTATTAAACTACTTTCTACTGAAGAAAATGAATTTTTTTGCCACTGTAAAATCTCCTTTGTTTATATATTATTCCTGTGTGTGTGTGTGTGTGTTGTGTGTGTGTGTGTGTGTGTGTGTGTGTTGTGTGTGTGTGTGTGTGTGTGTGTGTGTGTGTGTGTGTGTGTGTACTGGGGATTGAACTCAGGGCTTGGGCGCTGTCCCTCAGCATTTTTGCTCAAGGCTGGCACTCTACTCTTTGAGACACAGAAG